AGTAAAGGACTAACGAGTCTTTTAGGTCTTTCATATATTCATACATTAATATATAGATATGAAATGTATGTAAAACTACTAGACAAAAGGTAATGGTTAAGACACTTGATTGATTGTATGATATAATAATAAACAAAACTATTTTACCAGATTAAAACTGGCATTTTGTATAGCTCATAGCGGGCAGAATTCCAGTTAAAAATGTGGGCTATTCACAGCCGAACAATGTGAACGTGTGTGTATCTGCATTGTGAGAGTGTACCCGCTCCCTCCTGGGAATCTGTGAGTGTGTGTGTGTGTGTGTGTGTGTGTGCGTGTGTGAGAGAGTTAGTATATCTAAATGGGCCACTGCATCTCGACTTAGATCCACCGTGAGTGCAACGTTAACACACATCAAGCATGATTAATCTCTCGCTCTCATCTACAATCAATCACATGCACACACTCACAGACACACACACACACACACAGGCAGAGAAATCACAGAAATCAGCTGCTTTTCCTCCTCGGCTGCCATCTATCTCCTGTTGGACAGAACCAGATCTGTCTTGATGTTAATATTTACATAAATCATGGTTAGCCTCTTTGGACACCATGCTGATGATAGGTGTTTCTGAAAAATCAACGCGGGTGAAAAATCCTCTCACTCTGGGAAAGTGTCATTGAGTAGCTAATAATGACCAGTGTCAACATCATCAATCTGCAGTGAGCTCATAGGAAGAAAATACACCTTCACACACACATGATGCTATGCTAACCCCACGCAGCTGCTACTGCTAAACATCCCTCATTTTAAATAAACTACACACCTTTGAAAGTATAGATTTTGTAGTTGCACATGTGAGTAATCCTGTAAAATTTTGAAGCTGTGACAAAATACAGGTAAAACAAATATACTAGATGTTTGATGTTCAAGCTTCCTCTCCCATAACAATGATCTGTTTGGTTTAGCCTGGCTTTGAAGGTCTCAGACCAAAGGCCACCGCTCGCCTCAGCTTTGTCCATTTCTGATGTCAGGAGCACTGAAAAAATAAATACGCCTGCTCAGAAAACACAACCAACTCGTAGTTTATCCGGTCCATGAAAAAGTCCTCACTGCTAATTTCAGGAACGGCCTGAATTAGCTTCCTACCCAACTTGCACCACACATACTCATACTACGCCACCACCGTCCAAAACCTCACCTATGGTGGGGTTGAAAATTTGAAAAATGGGAGGGGGTTGATTACATCCAACTATGCCGCAGACCTAATTGGCAAGCGTGACAGTGTGCAGAGCTTGTCATCTCCAATCATTAGGCCTGTCAGAGATCCATCAGATGCTTGGCTAATTAGGAGAACGCTAATGAAGCTGGCAAAACAACTCCTCTTCTTAGACAGCTGAGTGCGTTCCGTCGCTCGGGTGGGAAATGTATGTGGTGTTGGTGGTGGAGAGGTTTGTTGGAAAAGAAAGAGGAAGAGCGTGTGGGCTCAATGCAAGCATAGAGATAGATGTAGACTTTAAAGTAAGAAAATATTGGTTATTTCCTTATGCTTGTACCCTAGCCAAACCCTGTAGAGGAGCTGACTGAGGTGGATCTACATAAGGTCTGTTTTTATAAAACCCAATTAGGAACACATGAAAAGCTCCAAATCAGCAGATTTAAATGAACTTTTCAATAAACACACTGACCTTTAACCAGATATATGAGCTTTTGTAATTTGAACAAATTTGATGGTTGACTGAATCACTGAAGGTCAGTGTTATATACCTGTTGTCTTTAACCACAAACACTTCAAGAATGCTTCGCTTTCTGGGTGCAGAATAGAGAGACCGAATCGGTGACATAAAAGAGAAGAAAAGGAGAAAGAGAGGAAGATATTTTGCTGTGAAAATAAAACTCAGGGTTTGAGGTACTCCACCCCCCCCCAATCAAGGCCTATCATTTGCCATCCTCCCATAACTCTTGCCATCACTACGGCGCAATCAATTTGTCATCACTCTTTGTGTGCCATGCAGTTCTCCTCAACCTTATAACTTGCAGCTGTGAGCAAGGGAGGGAGGGAGGAGGAGGAGGAATGAAGGGTAAAAAAAAAAAAAAAAAAAATAGGAAGCTGCCAATAGTCTAAAATGAAACTCCTCCTTCGCCTGCCTCATGTTTGTTCTCGTCCGCTCATCAAAGAAATAAATGCCTAATTTTCTCTCCCACTCTCACTGCCGGCACACTTACTCGCTCATTCCGGCTGAATAAAAAGGCTTTCAGTCACCCCACTATGCATCTATCCATCCATCCATCCATCCATCTATCCGTCTGTCCACCCCACCCCCCCACCCCGCCATTGTGTCCATTAGTGCTAAAACATTTTGATCAAGTAAGGCCCTGGGCTGAGAATACATAAGACTCTCTCTCTCTGTGCCAGCCTCTGATTGACCATTAGGGCCATTGATGAATGTGGCTGTCAGAGGGCAGACAATTAAATCAAATATGAAACAAAGTCTCTGTGACGGGCCCTTCTGATGGAGCAAACCAGTCTTCCGCCTCACGATTAGGCTAATAGTTACATTTTTCATACCACTCTATGTGGTACGTGGGTGTGTGCAAAAAGTATTGCATGCTTGTTTATATGTACTATAAAGTCATTGCAGCATGTCCTCTGTTCATACACCGCTGCACTTATTAATTATGTCTGTGTGTGTGTGTGTGTGTGTGTGTGTACTGGTAGGCTGTAGGCAGATTGTGGAGACTACTTCTTTGAGAGTTAAACAAAGTTGCAAGCAAGAACATTTTATTGTAAGCCATTTTACCTCAGCACGCTAAGGTAACACAATGCAAAGAAACGCTAAAGGTCATGCATAAATCATTACTAACTCACTAGAAAAATTCTGAATGTCACTTAGTGTTTCAAAGCCATATGTACTACAAACAAAAGCTACAAAAAAAGGATGGATGTTATTTGTTTAACTGACTCAAAGTCTCAAAATTCAAAAATGAACAGAAATTATTAGTAACACTTAAAATCTCCTCCGCATCAAGTGGGAGTGCAAAATAAAAGAGTTCAGTTCTTTATCCACGGCAAGTCTGGGGCGAAGGGGGGAAAATGTAAGACATCTAGCTAAAAAAAGTGCGGACAAAACAGATACAAAGACGCAATTAAACTGATGGTGTTAATGGCAAGAAGTTTGTGAGGCCAGATGTGACTTCAGCAGGCCCTTGTTTGCTACCAGAATGAGCAAGGGAGGGTAGACAGGAGGGAGGAGGGTGATTTATTGACACTTATCGGGAATGAACAGATCAAAAGCTCGGCCACATGACAGGTGATCAATCAAGCATCAAATCAAAGATGGCAATTGTCCATTAAAGCTCTCTTCCAGTATACACTCCCTCCCCGGGCTGTGAAATAATCTTTAGACTAGAAGAAAAGTCTTTCCCAGAAACTGAAGGGAATGGGAGAAAGAAAACAGACCCAACCCTGATGAAAAACAAGGATGGAAAATCTCTAAGAAATGTTGAGGTTACTATATTAAAGTTTCAAAGGAATAGAAAGTGATGACTAAAAGAATCGTTTTTATGTGAATATTGTGAAAATATACTAATATGATGGGGGATAAAATATACTAGAAAACACAATAAGGTCACTAAAACCCAAAATTGTGCATCAAAACACATCGCAAATTCCTGCAGAGAATATTACAGCAACATGATGGTGTAACAGAATCAGTGGTAGGCAATCAAACACACAGGGACACTAAAGTAATATTTCAGTGAGGACAGAATGGAGAGAAAGATGCTGATCAAATATACAAAATAAGATTTGTAATTTATGGGGATGTTTTTTAAAGTTATTCCGACTTCCCAAAAAGAAATCAGCACGTATCAAAGGTCTCCGTGACAGTCAGCTGACCCTGGGGCTCAACCGAACCGTTCTTCCGTTACTCCATAGTCAATTTCTACAAGTGGAGCAGTAGGAAGAGAAGGAGCACCGCAAAGGAGTAAAAAGATGTAGAGAGAGACATATGAAAGACAAAGTTCTCTGAGGCTAGGAGAGACAAATGAATAAGAGAGGAGAACAAAACACGCTTTTCACACTGACAGTCTTTACACCGAGGCTGACCTGTGACCCTTTTTGAGCGGCTAAAGGATGATTGCTCCAACTTCGGGGTCACACCTGTACATACCCACCCCGGTTTTTCATGACATACGTATGAAAAATACTAATAATCAACAGACTAATAATTATTTTGCAGTATCAACTGATATGAGTATTATTTCCTTTATTGATCATTGTGTCTACAAAACATCAGAAAATTGTAAAAACATTCCCAGCACAGTTTTTCAGAGGCTCTTTAAATGTCTTGCTTTGTCCAACCAGCTGTTAAAATTCTAGAGACATTCAATTTGCAGTGATATACAAAAGAGGACAGCAGAAAACACTTGTTTAGTAGTATGTTGTTGTTGTGCTATATTGTGAAAAGGACATAAAAGCGGCTGGCAACTACAAATGTTGGACATTTTGGCTTGAGAAGTGCCTCAAACGATTAGAGATTAGAGATAAATCTTTAATAAATTAAATTGTTTCAGCCAGACTACAGACCACAAAACAAGGACCTTTGTGGTGTTTACTAATTGTACTTAAAATTAAATGTGGAGTTAAGGATTTTTGGAATTATAAAAAAATACCTGATAAGGTGGTATACCAAAGGTATAGGCCTAATGGTTGATATTGCTGATTATAATACATATTACATGTCTAGTATGAGATGGCAAAAGTTGTATTGAGGGCTCTGTAGCTGTGTATATAAAGTATTGTGCAGAGTGCTGGAGGTTTTCCCTTTGCTTGTTAGTTTACAGTCCACAACAAAAGATGTTGTTGCAGTTGCATTAATGTTACTATGTGGGTGAGGGAAATATCAATGAAAAGAAACTGAATGGGGGCGGTGGGAGGAGGGGGGCACAGATGGAGAGGGGAGAGAAAGAAGGAGAGAGAGGGGTAAATTGCATGCAAATCAAAGCCAGTGCGTACCTGCGGCGCGCCGAGGCGCTTGCTGCTTCCTCCGCGGCATGTCAGCTTCGGGGGCCCGGCAGGGAGTTCTTCTCTGGCCCCGGTGATCCGAGGCTGCCTGGGGGATCCGCGGAGCTTTGATACACAGTTTCCCCCCCCTGGGTGCGCTCTCAGGGCACCCACATAGATCGGGGTGGGTGTGTGTGTGGAGGGGAGGGTGTGCAGTTTTCGAACACACACAAAAAAAAAATCAGAGGATGAAGAGCCAGTAGATTCGTAGATAGTAAAAAAGAGAAAGGGGTGGGGGGTGGGGGTTCAGTGTAACTCCCGCGGTTGGCTACTCTCTCTGTCCGTCGCTCGGTCGCTCTCTCGCCCGGTCCGACTTGGATGGACGCGGTGGGAGCAGGAACAGAGGGGGCTCCGCGGTAGAAAAACAGAGAAGGGATGTTTAAAAAAGCGCCTCGTGCCTCCGTGTGATCCTCTTTACTTGGCGTCTGATGCTGCAACAGGCAAGCTTGAAGGAACAAAACCAAATGATCGCGTCAGTCAAAAGTCCGCAAACAAGGGGACAACACATCAGGAGCTGACACAACTGAAGCCCTGCGCCTCCTCTACGGTTCAACCTCTCCGCCGCTGATAGGCGTCACGTAGCTCCTTGTCTCTCTCTCTCTCTCGCTCTCTCTCTCTATCTCCCCCTCTCTCCCTGCCTCTCTTACCCCTCTCACTCTCTTTCTGTCATTCTGCCTTATTCCAGCCTCGTTTATTCCAAACGAGCAGGTTAATCAGAAGCTTTTTGGTTATTGTTTGAAATGTGCGTAATGTCAGTCATGTTGCTGATGGATCTAAAGAGAGGCGCAGACATGCAGACACATGATAGCCTAACAAAAACACACCTACAATATCATTCACGCGCAAACACAGGCTGGCAAGCGTGATCTGAACGGAAATTTATACTTACTTTACGGGCTGATCCTCAGTCGCGCTGTCCATGAGGTTTTCGCTTTTCCCTCCCGGTAATCACGCACTATTCAAAGCCAAGAGGTGGAGCAGCTGAAACGTGCCTGAAACCATTTCATAGAAATCCATTCGCCTCTGGCAAGTCCTGTTGGTGGTGAGCAAAAAAAAAGCCACATGCAGCTTTTTCAGTTTGTTATTCTCGGGACCGACAGCGTAGGAGAAAAAAAAAAGAAGGAGGAGGAGGAAGAAGAGGAGGTGACGACCGGGACTGGTCGCCCACACGCTGCCCTGCCTGGCGCGGCTACGATATTTTGTCCGAGAGCGCTTTGAAAAATCCGCTGAGGACAAGTCACACAGTCAGTGTGTATGTGTGTGTGCGCGCGCGCGCGTGTGAGCGCGTGTTACTGTAACTGCGCGTGTGTGTCTGTGTGTGCGTGAATCGATGAGATACGTGCTTGATTGGGTCTCCCTTGTTGTAATGTACATGAGGAGGAGGGGACGGGCTTAGGCTGCTCCCATGCATGCAGGCTGGCTGGAGCGCACGGATCAACCGAGCTGTAGCGCCTACTGCCAAACACTTTGTTGGCCGCTGATGGTACTTTTCTCCCTTTTTTTCGTTACGTGGCTTGATAGGAGCTATTTAAATCAGCCACGCAGCGAATCAGACGCGTCTCCCAACACTGCGCTCCGCTCTCCTTCCTGCGCCTCAAGTGACCGGAGAGGCGCAAAACCCTCACTAAGCGCTGTCCCTGTTGTTGGCACTGACTGGAATAAAGTAATGTTTTTCTTCACAGGTAAGCTCAAAATCCTCCTTAGTTGAGATGTAGGTTATTCAAATGTTTTCTGGAGAGGCAGTTGCTCCTTTTTCTCCCAGTGTTTCAGTGAGGCATAAAAGTTTTTGGATTCAACTGAGTTGGTGAAGTGGCTAAAAATATTATCCTGTATTTTTCAGGCAATCCTCGGGGTGGGACGCGTGGCTTCACGGCGGTGAAACAAAGGATAAAGGATTCTTGAAGAGGGGAATGGAAGAGCAATATGGGTGAGTTGCCAAAGGCTCTTTTTCTCTCTCCTCCTCTCTTCCTCTGCGCCAGATGTGGTGCTGCTGCGCCTAGTCGCTCGTCAATAGCCGGAGAAACAGCTTTCTTCGTGGGATCCGCCGAGGGAATCAGATCTCCTCAGCCTTTCTCCCCGTGTCGCTCCTCTGGTAAACCGGGGAGTGTGTCCGTTCCTCCTCCGTTCTCCCGGCTCGGTGGAAGGATTGGTGATTGGTGACTCTCCGCTGATCGAGGATGTTTTCGCCCTAATCTCGCCGCGACTATGTGTGCCGCTCCACCACTGCATGCCGTTAGATCCGCCCAAGCATCTGTCCGTCTTTCCATTGGCGCATCCATCAGTGTCACACACACACACACACACTCTCTCTCACACACACGCACACACAGCTGCCGTGCGCACCTTCCTTGTGATACTACAATACCCCCTCCCACCCCACAGTGTACACTCAAACATAACACTCATTCACACAAGCAAACACACACAAAGCGCGCGCGCGCTCGCTCGCGGGCGATGGAGAGCTCTCTCCTCTGTCTGATTGACACAGTCCACTTTCTTAAAAGCCGAGGGAGCGAGCGCACTGCGTTGTTTGGCATTTCCCCTCCCAAATGGGAGTCCGTGTGTTTTTTGCTTCTCGGGGCGCCAGCATTTTTGTTTTCCCTCCCAGATATCTACAAAAAACAGAAAATACAAAGTTGCTGGATTTTGAGACATGGAAATACTTTTACTTCCTCAACATAAACCATTTCAAAATATTGCATTCCAGGTTCAGCGGGGATTTATGTGCTTTTATTGCGCTTGGGTGAAACATTTAATTTGCTTGCAATATAACTATGTTTATGAGGGAGTGCATGCAACATGTGTTCTTAATAAACCGGATATTTATCTACTAAGGTGCAAAAACAAATGTGAACTTTGTGTTGTTGTCAGCAGCAAATCTCGTATTTTTTTGTAATTAATTAAATGAAATTAACAGGTCGCTTCCCAACTTCTATACATCTAAAAGTGGGTCTAAAACATGTATTAGTTAATATGCCTAAAATCTAAAATGTGTCAGACTTAACCTACCCCATACTATTTTTCTTACATTTTCTTAACCACTTTAATGAAATATTATTTTAGTTGGCCTACCATGTTTTGTATTTCACTTTTTATTCATCACACCTGGACATTTTTAGACTATCTCTGCTCTTTAAAAAAATAAAACAAATCCAGTGTCAGCTTGGTTTAAAGTGTTCTGAACCGGGCACATAGACATGGCCCACTATGTCTGCCTTATAGGACTATGTCTGGGACGGGGAGGGAGGGAGGGAGAGAAAAGAGGGGGGGGGGGGGGGGGGGAGAGAGAGAGAGAGAGAGAGAGAGAGAGAGAGAGAGAGAGAGAGAGAGAGAGAGAGAGAGAGAGAGGTGCTTTGATTTGTACCGTTGCCAAACACTTAAATACAAAAATCTCATTTATTATCACAAACTGATTCTTTCACCCCTTTAAAGTCGTGTAATCTTACAGCATAGAGCGTTAGACCGTGTCTGGTATGCACCACGGATGTAGGTCCTAAAGATGACCACTGTGGCGGTGAACTGGTTTAGTTAGGGGAACCTATCAGATCGTTGTGTGCCAGATGTGTTTGGAGAGAGTGTATTCAAGATGCGCCTTTTGGGCAAAGTTTGTCTTTTAACTTGCGCTTATGGGTAAATATAAAACTGTGGTAGCTGCGTAGTTTTAAAAGCTGTATTATTTTCAGCCATCGATATGTTAAATAAAATTAGGACGCCAAAGTACTGTTAAGACTATTGTACAAATATGACTCGTGTAAACAGCAGTACGGGTATTATATATAACTAATACAAAGCCAGTAAATGCATTTTTGTCAATGCCATATCGGTGTGTTTTATTGACATGGCTATTATTTCCCATTTGATTACTATTTCACCAAGTCATTTTTTTCACTAGGACATTTTCAGTAATCATTGTTTCTACGAAACAGAAACGAAGTAATACTGTTTGTTTTAACCGTAATAATTATAATATATACTTCTTAGGTTTGAAATAAAGTCAGCTCTTAAAAACTTTACTTATGAATCTTTAGCGATATGCATCGTGTGTGTGTGTGTGTGTGTGTGTGTGTGTGTGTGTGTGGGGTGAGTGGGTGGGGCGGAGGACGGGGGGGAGGGGGGCTAACATAATCAGAGGCACACTGATCATTCATCTCTGATTCATGATATTAAAACGTTTACATAAAACTTTCCAAAACATTTAATTGTTGTGAAAACGATTTATTTAAAGCTGCACTGTGTCTAAATTACTGACAAAAACACTGACCTGTGTTACAAAAATAAATCCAATATGTTCCATAGCAGTTAGAGCAGTGCGTTATTGAATAAAAACTGTTAATGTTACCGGAACTCATCAATATATCATACTGTTCGGGGTTTGTAGTTTAGGAGACTTGCCGTATAATTCTGGGTCAGATTATGCAGTTTCTTGTGTATCTGGTAACCCCGCTGAAGTATTCCCTCATAGGTAAATTCTATTTTTTACTTTTAGATTATCTTGAAAGAGAACAAAACTTTATGTTTTCGACCAAAACGTTTCTTTCCCCCTTTTCAATGTTTAAGGACAATGGTAATGTTTTAAATAAACTACATGATGTACACTATGTAATTAGTGCCCTGCTTGTACCACACAAGAAAACGACTGTATCATAAAGTAAATGCAGATATTTTTCATTGTTGCCAATTGACTGATAGGATACATGTTGTAGTATATGCCTGGTGCGTTTTTATGGTCTCATTGATATTAAAACTAAGTTAATTGAACTCTCTCGCCTTTGTTTGTTCGCAGTTGCGATTCTCAGGTTTCACTGACGATATGAACAGGTTTACTTTTTCACTCTAACAACAATATGCATCATAGAGCGAAATGAATCTGCGGTGACATAGCTATTAAGAGTTCGCTGAAATTATAGGACGCGGATTCTATAAAGGCAGACTCGCATAGAAATATTAGACAGCGGCGTGGATGACTCATATTTGAGTGTTTGAGCCAAAGACTCAGCTAAGTGAGGAAATTAATTACAGACAAGTATAATAGTGACTCCACCAACAATTAAAGAGAGAAGCAGAGCTTCAGTGTGAGCACGTGCACATACTCCATAGGCTTTAAACCAAAGTCCTTACCATCTAGTGTGTGTGTGTGTGTGTTTATGTGAAACCGCTGTTTTACGCACACAGGTCACTAATTCATGCCGCTGCTTCCTCAGTATTCCGGGTGGTGTGTGTGTGGTGAAGGGGGACTGTAGTGGGGGGATCGGGACCTCGCCTCTACCGCTGCTCTCTTTACGCACAGGTCGAAGCTCCAGAAGCCTCTCCACGGACGCACGATATGGCACTGGTTTGGCACTCATTCGATCAGGTAGTTTTATTATTGTTGTTAATGTGCAGCCGAGATGAAGTCAAAATTGACTGAAGTTACGTAGAGACGCATCTACGCACGGACACAGTGCTTTTTTAAGATGGTATTTTGGTGACCTACTAAATGTAATTTATCAGATGGATGTGTCATCAGAAAGACATCTTTTTAGGTTTCATTCCTACACTTTACTCCCATTAAAATAGGCAGTAAATGCGAGTTTTAAAGTCCCAGTCTCATATTCTTTTAGCTACAGGGGCTTTGTCACAGTCCAGATTAGGTTTATGGAAATTCTGCTCCCTTCTCAAAACACAAATAGATGCGTTCTGATAAGTACAAACACGGGTAGGTTTAGAGCACAACTACTGCGATATATCCCTGAGCTCCACCAATCTGCACCACCCGTGATTTACTCATTGTTCTTTTCCTGTTTCTTCATCTACGATGATCACGTTGGCTCGGAGAGGCGGCATGGCGCACGGGCTTCACGGCACACTGGTGTATAGTAGACTGGATCAAGAGCCAGGGGGAAGGACAGTCCGCAGAGCAGCTTGGGAAAAAAACGGAAATTAAAAGAGAGAGAAATAATATGATCTAATGCGTGTTCCTTAAACCCTAAACTATTCCATATTCTGTAGTCCGTCCACCGCATGACCGAACATTTGAGGACGATAAGCGTGACTAATAAATACATGAAAAGTGATGAAGCAGTATGTAGTTGATGCTGATATTGAGTCTAAAAAGACCCACCCACTCCCCCACCACACACACACACACACACATTTGAAAACTTCTTAAAAACATTTAGCTAAAAAAGGAAAAATACATTTAAGTAGTAAAGTGCCACTCCTTCAGTATCCAGAAAATGCCACATGATTCAAAAGAAATTCTTGTAGATTGTTATTGGAAAAAAAGAAATAATCTCTCTATTAAGGTGGGCTGGCTGAAAGGAGAAGTCTACAAGCCTCTATTAGTTTTATAAGTTTTTTTTTTCCTCCCACAAATCTGCTTTTTGTCACGATGTTTTTGATTTTCTTCCCCTCAGCCTTAGGCCAAGCCTATGGCTGTTGGCCAAACCCTCCTGCCTTTCCCTCCTCAATTTGAGACAGACTGTTTTATTATGTAGTGTTAAGGTTTAGTCGATATCAGAATTACCTCCAAAACTCCTTGTCCCTGACACAGAAGGCTGGTGGTGGTACTCACAAAACAAGAACAGGCACCTATTTGCATGGAAAGAGACAGAAAAAAAGCAGGCCAGAGTTAGACTCTCCTAAAATAACCTTAAAAGTTACAAACTCCCACCAAAAACAAGGCATTGACAAGAGAAGCTGAAAAAGATTGAGTGGATGCTCTCTCCCTCTCTCTCTGTCTTTTCCTCTCTCACCCTCCCCAGTGTCCTCCCTCCCTCCTGCCTTGTTGGGTGTGCTGCGGAGCTAGCAGGGTTGAGAGGGCAAGTGCTGACCAGCCCTCTTTCTTTCTCTGTCTGCTGTTACTAGGTCACCACACACACACACACACACACACACCTCTCCCTGTGTTGCCACTAGGGAGAGGGGTAATTTAAGCCCTCCTTCATG